GGCCACAAGCTGAGGGAGGATAGGTTTAGGTTAGATATTAGGAAGAACTACTTCACTGTAAGGGTGGCCAGAGCCTGGAATAGGCTTCCCAGAGAGGTGGTGCTCTCACCTTCCCTGGAGATCTTCAAGAGGAGACTGGATAGGCACCTGGCTGGGGTCTTATGACCCCTGCCACCCCCAGTGCTCCTTCCTGCCCATGGCAGGGGGTCGGACTAGATGATCTGTCTAGGTCCCTTCCCACTCATTGATTCTATGATTCTATGATTCTCCTGCCCTTTGTTACTCAGCATTGTAAGATAAGAGTAAAATGCCACTAAAATAAAAAAGTCACATTTGGAAGTTGCCTTGGGATGGTGTATTTGGAGTTGGGGAAGGGAGGGGCAGCAAAGTGCAGGACATTAATCACCCTTCCCCCAAGTTTTAATGGTGACCCTGACACTGACTTGTTATGTGTCCTTAGGCAAGTCACTTGGGCATTGTGAGTCAGTGCTTGGCTACTTCACAGGGGTGTTGCATGGCTTAATTCATGCTGGTGAAGAGCTCTGAGAGCCCTGAATAAAAGGGGCTGTGTAAATGCCAAGCATGACGTATTGCAGTGTAACCTCTGTCTCGTGATCTTATTTCTGTAAGACTAGGACACTGCATGTTTTTTCTGGGAAGTGGCTTATGGAGGAAGTTTATACAGATCAGACCTACTTTCCCTCAACCCCAGGAGCTGCAGGTTCCCAGCTATTGGTCCTTTCTTAGATTCACTTTTAAAGCAGAATAAAGGTTCCCAAAAGAGTCTGGAGAAGTTGTCCTGCCTCCTGTACATTCCTGGTTATTTTGTGTGGATGGAGGGTGTGGTTTTGAAATGAAGGGCAAGGTCACTTGGGAACAAACATGTCTCTGTATTTTTGTGATCACGTCGCCAGCTAATCAGCTTAGTTTTCCAACTTTTCTTTTCCACAGATCTTATAAAGCACGGACGCGAGAGGATAGAACAAACTATCAAGGCCTCCGGCTCCAGGCTGTGCTCCTAGTGAGTAAGAAAGCCGCGGAATGAGATGCTAGCCCTTTAAAAATGAAGCCTGATAACCTCTGCTTTAGACCTAAGTGGTGAATAGAGACGACTGGCACAGGCCAGATGTGGGCAGAGCCCTGGGAGCTGCCTCTGTTACAAACGCAGTGCAGCTGGGAAGTATCCCTTGCCATGGCGTTGACCCTGCTCCCCAGGAGGGGGGCTCTAACTGCAGTAAGTCAAGGTGCCAAGTATTTCTTGCGGCTGGGATGCTGTGTGATGAAGTACTGAGAGGAGGGGAGAGCGCAGAGGTGGCACCTGCAAAAGTTCATAAGGTTGGCTGGCTGGTTGCAAAGGGTGGGAGTTTAATGGGCCTGTGGGATGCTGAAGGGACCTGCATGCCTGCACAGCTTCCCTTGATTTTAGTGGGTGATTGGGGAAGAAGTGTGCAGGGGTGGAAATGGATCAAATATGCTTGGTGGGGGGCAGCTACCTGGTTTATTGATTGTTGTCTTAAAAATAAGGGATATGGGGGAAGGTCAAAAACCAGAATGGTGGACTGTGGCTCCCTTTGAGTAAGAATAAGAATCTCACCCTCTGGGACGTTATTGGGGGAAATAAGATTAACTAGAGAGGCATAAGACCCACAGTGTTGATAGCTTTGGTTCTGACCTGCCCTGTACAGCCAAACTGGCATGGGGTCAACCCCATGTGAAGTGTGACACAGTTAGTGCTCCTGGCTGCTACAGCCCAGGCTCGGCTTGGTCCAGTCCTGCCTTCCTGCAAATGCTAATGCAGTCTCTGAAATCATGAATGGGATGGCCAGGCCTAGTGTAATCTGGTTTGGGAAATAAGCTCAGAACAACACAAGCATTTCTCTGGGTAGTCACAACCAACTTGCAGGGAAACTTTGCAGCAAAGTCAGGTCAAGGAGGGCTGGTAGGGTTTGGAGAGGGTACTAGAGGCCTGCTACCTCAGAAGGCTGCAGCATGGGGTGTAATAGCATCCCTATACTGGCTAAGCTTCCTTACTGCTGGCTGACAAGTCTCTAATCACTTAGTGCTGTAACCCAAGTTTTTGGGTCACAAGGTTGGCTGTGGCAGTAGTGTAACTAAGTTTGTGGGGGTGACCAGGAGCTGTCCCAAAAATGGCCACCACAACAGTGTCAGCTAACTGCACGGCTGTGATTGGCACTGCCACAGCCTGGTGTTACCCTGTCTGCTGTGGCTGCCCCCAGTGCAGAGCTATCCTGCTATTCCTCTGGGCTGTGGAGTATGACTGGCTATAAAAGGGGGCAGCAGATGGTTGTATTCATAGATAATCCACCAACAAGACTTGCTGTGTCCATGATGGTGTTTGCTGCTAGCATGGAACCAGCAAGAGCCAAAACAATCTTGCTCTGGTACATTCACGTGTGCACTGCACAATAAAAGTGGGGCAATTCTTTCCAAAAGTGGCTATTTATTTGGACTGCCTTTATCAGGCATCCAGTGCAAGGCCCTATGTTTCATGTTTCTTGCCCCACTTGAAGTCAGCGGAAGCTTTAAGAGCTCAGCACTGGTGAAACTCTGTTCTTTGCAAACTTTGGCCTGATGACTGAGTTTAGGATAATGTCGTGCTTGCTCCTAGGCACTAAAATAATTTGGGTTGGATGGGTCTTTTTCTTGTTCACCTGCACCTGGTACTATCACTGTCTGCCCTGTTTTATAGCCAATCTGCCCCCAGTAGCACCAGCTGTGTTGGATGCAGGGCAGGAGGAATCCTGCCCTGCTATTCCAAATGCTGGGCTGGTAGCTTGATTGGCAAGATCTTGAGTCACTGAGTTGTGAGATGCTTTTCCCTTCCCCATCAATTCCTAGGTGAGAAGATTATACATGCTTCCCCCATTAGAGCCAGCTTTCCCCATGTGCTGAAGTCTGATTGTTTTGGTATCTAACAGGTTGGTTGAGAGTTGGGTGTTGATAAACAGTGTCTATTTTGTTTCTTCTCTTTCAAGTGCTGAAAGGGTTGCCTTCTTAATGGACCGTTCGAAAAACTCAAGTTCCAAACCCCAGGTAAGACCCTGACTCCTAGCCAGGCTGTTGAAGCTCATTTTAAGTGGGAGGAGGGAAGGGAGGAAACCACATTTGTAGGAGAAAAGCAGGGTGGAGAAGTTGGCTTTGTTTCTCTCCAAAGTATTCAGTTCAGAAAGATTCTTGATCCAGGAAGTGGATTAGTGTGGCTGTGTTGAGTGGTTTAAAGATTAATTTCACAGCTCTGAATTACAACCTTGGATGTACTTGACAGTTCTGAGGATTACTGCAGTATCTCTGTAGTGCTGGAGATAAGACCACCCACTGCCATGAGAGCAGAGGGGATTAGTTAATTCAAGGTTTGCAAAGTACCATGCATGTTTATGTTGCCAGCACATCATATGTGGACAACGAGAGCACAACATGCAAAGCAGTCCCTGGCTTTTGCTACTGAAAATGATGTTCAACTTGCATGAATTAAACCAGCAGCTAAACTCATTCTTCTATTGATGTTTTTGAAGAGTAACAGTCTTCTGGAGGACTAAACAAGTGTGGTATGAAGACTGGGCAGTAGAACTGTAGCTGAAAGGATGGCATTGTTTTAGGACATGACTAAAGATAAGGCAAGGGATAGAAATGAGATCCCCTTGTGAATATAGCATTTCAGAGGTGCTTCCCCAAACATGCCTGCACGTACTCACTCGCTGTCAAGGAACTACAAATGACAGACTTATTTTGCTGTCATCGGTGGCCTTGAAATAATGGGTGAGGAAACAAAGCAACTGTTCCAGTGTTAGGCAACCGGCGAAGGGTCTGAACCTGTCGTGTTCCTTAAGGATACCGAGAAATTGTTTGATTGAAACTGCAGTACATGAATACCTGTGGTGAGTTAAGGAGCACATGTGTTCTAAAACTCTTCATTTGAAACTACATAGTCCTTGTGATTTACCTCCTGGCTCCTTTAATGTCTACGTTGTCCTCTCTAGCTTCCAGCACTGACTGACAACATCAACCTTGGACCTTCAGCGAATCCAAAGTAAGCTCTATGTAAATGTGAGGTAGGGTATGGAAGGAATTGCACAAGGTGGGGCATGCAGTGAATGATTGGCTTCCCTCTCTCAGGTAGATTCATGTGAACTAAAATGATGATAGTAATATGGCCCAGGTGAACACTAATGTAGCATGTATTTTAAACCTTGCCTTAAAGTGGCCACCTATAGCTAGTCACATGCTCAGGTTGTGGGGGGTTTTGCTTTGTTTCTGGAAGGTCCTAATCCTTGCTTCTGACCACATTTTATCTCAACCCCCTCACATGTTGTCTTCCACTTGGGACACTGGCCTCTTGTTAAGTGGTGGAGGGAGACTCTTCCTTTTTTGACCATACTGCATCTCCCTGATGCCTCCAGCTTTCTGTTTGCTTCCTCTCTGGGACAGACTCTGGCTCAACTGAAGCCCTGGCTCTTGTCAGGTCTCAACCTTTATGGTCTGAGATGGACTTAAACAAGATTCCTCTTCCACTGTCCTGTTCAGCACAGTGAATTCCTTAAGTGTGCATCATCTTTGCCTGTGGCTTCTCCCCCTGCCACTGCTGCCTCCTTTTGTCTGTATTGTATTACTGAAGATCTTTTCCAGGTCAGATTTGTCCATGGATAGCTGAAATGGGATTTATGTAGTGAATAAAGGATAGGTCCCCAAGCCCCTCTCAGCTCTTACCCTCCTGTTATAAACTTGAGAAGGGAACTTTGCTAGGTGGTAACTTGCTGTCTGCTTGTCCAACAGTGCCAAGCCAACAGACTTTGACTTCCTGAAAGTTATTGGCAAAGGAAGCTTTGGAAAAGTAAGTGGAATACAGCTTTGAACCCTAGTGGGCTACTGCTGGGACCTAAATGACTTTCTATTATGCTAGCAGAACAGGAGGAAGAAAACTTTGTCATGGGGGAAAAGAAAGGAATATGAATAGAAAAATATTGGCCTGTGGGAATATGCATAAACAGATTTTTGTTAAGATGTATGTCCTGTATATGACTAAAGTTGTTGTGGAACACTTCTGTGGAATGAGAAGGGAGCAGGATTCAAAACCTAGTCTGTGCAGGGCTTGTGTAGGGACAACTGTAGGTTTCTGCATAGGGGGTGCACAGAGGTGCACATGCACCCCCTGAGAGTGCTGGTGCCCCTCTGCAAGTGCTGGCTGATCGCTGCAATTGCTGTAGCTGCTTCTGGGAGCAGCTGTGGTGATCGCAGCAATTGGCCGTTGCAGGATTGCCCAGGGGGCAGGATTGTCCGTGGGTAGACCCTCCCCCCCGTTGGTGGGACTGGTCACAGGTGGGGCACGGGCCCCCCCTGATTGAGGCAGCACCAGTCGCCCATGTTTCTGTAGGCTTCCTAGCATGGACCTCTTCCACTAGCAGCTGAGTGGCTGGTAGTGATTTTTCACAAAGCAACCTGTCAGCATCACTGAACTGAGTGGGAACAAAGAACCAAATATCTAAAGAGATGTCCAGTAACTAGGGGTAGGTGGGAGCCTGTCCTCTGTATCTCCAATGTCTAGCAAAGCTTGATTTTTTTTTTTTTAATTTAATTTAATTTTTTTAAAGAATTTTTTTGTGTTCCAAGCCAAATCAAGTCCAAATCCATGAGTCCATAACCATAATTGGCCCTACAACTGGCAAACATCTTTCACCCCCACCAGGGGCTTCAAATATTTCCACAGTCTTTTGGTAGGCATCCTACATGCTTGCCCAAGTTTTGCCTGCCCTCAGCCGCAGGAACAAGCTAGGGAGAAACTTCCCATTTCCATAAAATGGGCATTAAGCCCCAAAACCTCGGCAGGTACTAAACCACGCCAGAAGAACAGTTATCCCTGGGAGGTTTAAGGAAAACTGCCTTCTTGGACCCAGATACATGGTGTTTCCCCTGCCAGGTCTAGCAAAGCTTGATATGTAACATGCTTTTTTGATCTCCTTTCCTTCCAACATGCCCATAGGAAAGAGGTAAGGGTGTGAGTATTTTAGCACATTTAAGACCCACAGCGTTCTTTGGGTAAATGTAGTATCTTTTATTAGACCAACAAAAGAGTTGAAAAAATTGTTCCACATTTTAAGGTTTCTATGCCTAATGAAGGTTTCTATGTCTAATGCCTATGCCTGTCATCTTGACAATTTCTCACTCCACAAGATGAGGGTCCTTGGCTTAATGGTACTTTATGAGATGACAAGGATCCTCTTCATGAGGGAGTAGGTAGAGTGAAAGGAATGTAATTTAGAGAAGCTTGGTATGCTGGTGTCCTTATCAAAGGATGGAGGAAGAACAGAAGGTGGGGGACCCTTGCTCTTTAAAATCATGGATCTAATTCCCCTCCCCCCCCCACCACTCTGCCTTTTTGTGTGGTCATGTACACTTGTACAAAACTGTTCTGAAACACTAACCAGAGCAGAGTGGGGGAAAGCAATAGAAACATGAGATCTCATTTTGCTGTCCTCTGCAGGTCCTTCTGGCCAAGCGCAAGTCTGATGGGACCTTCTATGCCATCAAAGTCTTGCAGAAGAAATCCATTCTAAAGAAAAAGGAAGTATGTAATAGAAGAGCATATTTAATACTTGGGAGGAGGCTTTTACTTCTCTTGTGGGTATGTTTGTTTCATAAAAGAAGCAGGGCTTACTAGTGCCTCTGTTACTTGATGTGTAGCCCTGATGGAGCAGCTGAGAGAAGCAAGGATCACTTGGATGAACCTTGTGCTTCTGAAAGGAAGATTAAACAACACTGGTTTGAGCCTCTTGTAGGCAAGGTCAGTCCTTGTCCCTTAGTCATTTTGGATGTGAACAGTCTTGTGCTTAGTATCACTGGTAACCCTTTTCCTTGGCTAAATCAACACCCAGTTCTGCAAACCATGGGGCTGATTCTGCAGATACTTGCTAGTGAATACAATACTTTCTGCTGTGGGTAATGTTGGTAACACAAATGAGATTAGTTAGGCTTGTAAGCACTGTACCTTGTAGTCTTCACTAGGCTATAGACTGCATTGTTGCTAGTTCATGCTACCCTATGGAGTGCATGCCTATGTTATGTGCCACAGGGATGTAAGGAAAATATTTGTTTAGCATGATTTAGAAGAATCATTCTGGATAAAGGTCTTATGTGAGGAGGCTCTAGTAGGAATCCCCACTGAAGGTTACTCACCCATTACTCTCCCAGCTGTTTTCAGAGTGACTAACTATATTGAGACCATGAAGAATCTTTAATGAACATTTGCCTGGCTGACCCTGGGGCTGTACTGACTAATTATCTTGGATCATTCTTCACAGCAAAATCACATCATGGCAGAACGCAACGTACTACTGAAAAATGTGAAGCATCCTTTCCTGGTGGGACTCCACTACTCTTTCCAGACCTCTGAGAAGCTCTACTTTGTACTGGACTATGTAAATGGGGGAGAGGTGAGAGAGTGTATATGCAACTTTCCTTTTAGACCCAAGTAGAGGTATAAAATTGTCCTGTTGCTGTTGTCTCTGATAAGGAAATAGGCTGTAGATGCCTTTATCTAAAGCAGTGTTCTTGCAGTTTTTGAAATGGACATGTCAAGATGGACTAAACCAGGGGTCAGCAACATTTTTGGCCAGAATGCCAAAAACACTGCAACCCTGACCCATGCCTCAGCTTGGCATGCAGGGGCAGATTGTGGGGGAGCCACAAGGGGCCTGATTCTCATTGCTGGCAGTGGCTGCACGTGTGCCTTTGGGCGGATGACAGGGGAGGGGCTGGGGTTGTGCTGCCCTGGCCCACCCCCGCTCTGCGCCCTGAGGTGTGCTTGCAATCGCCACCACCAAAGAGCCAGTGCCTGTGCTCTGGAGCCCAGTGCAACTGTTTGCAGCCTCCCAGCTGCCTGCCACAGCCAGCCTGGCTTCTGGGCAGCTGCATCAGGTAGTGGGAAGGCTGGAAACAGCTGCCCCTGGGCAGATGATGAGAGAAGGTCTGGGGTTGCACTACCCCAGGCCCCTCCCCTGCCATCTGCCTGGAGGCATGCATGCAGCTTCTCCCCCTGGAGCTCAGAAGCCCAGTGCAGCTGTTTGCAGCCTCTTGGCTGCCTGCTGTGAACAGCCTGGGCTCCATGGCCAGTGGCAGCTGCCCAGAGCCTGGGCTGGTTGTGGTGTGCTGAGCAAAATGGCTTTGTATGCCATGCTCTGGCACGCATGCTGTGGGTTGCTGATCCCTGGGCTAAATCATATAGCCTAGCCATTTAGGGTATGTCTATGTAGCATAACATAGGGCTGTGCAGAGAGAGCTGGGTTAGCACTGACTAAGACGCAAGAGTAATACTAACTCGGGTGGACCAGGGGCCAGTGCAACTATACTGATTTGGAAGCCTGAACTAGCTTAGAATTCTCAACATAGCTTAATGCAGTGTTGTGCTGACATAACTATAGTCTGTCTTAGATTATGAAATAATCCTTTTGTACCACCCTTGCCTATCCTGTGCTTCCATCTCCCTTCTAAGGAGTACAGGGTATGATAATCCATTCTTGGCTGTAATGGTGACACAGAAGTGGCACTACTGCACCCATTCGAGAAAATGTTCAACCGCACTGCCATATTTAATAATCTAATGATGCACTGCTTACACCCTACAGGCTACCACTTATCTGGCTAGCTTGTATTCAAACTGCCTTAAGGTATCTGTCCCCTTTATATGAAGAGACCTATTTTCCCCCCCTCTGGATGCAAAGACTGCACATTAGTAGCAAAGCTGTCTGGAGTTCTTGTTAGGCAAAACACAATACTGTTTTGGTGAGGACAGGAAAAGAAAATCCATATTAATGGGAGTGAAGAAGAGCTGGAAAACATGGCTTTTCAAATAACAAAGGCAATAGTGGCAGAAGCAGCCAAACTGACTGGGGGTTGGGAGAGAGTTGCTCCCAAATGATCAGGAATTTCTTTTTCATCTCTGTCTACAGCTCTTCTTTCATTTGCAAAGAGAGCGCTGTTTCCGTGAGCCTCGTGCCCGCTTTTATGCTGCTGAAGTAGCCAGTGCTGTAGGGTACCTGCATTCCTTGAACATTATCTACAGGTAGGGTGTGTGTATTCCTGATGTGCATAGCAGCATTGGTAATGCCCCCTGTTATACTTTACTGTGTGCAATGGCTGGTATGGTAAAGGGAAATACTTGATGTTTTAATGCTGTCACCCTGTTAAAAGGAAAACTTTTAAAAACAAAGCTGAGGACTCTTGTAGTGGATAACCCCCCTGACACGGTTCTGCTGAACTTAGCAAGCAGAAACCTTTATAACTATGCTCCTGATCTGGGAGGTCCCAGGAGGTTTACAAATGCCAGGGTAGCACTTCTCTGAACCACTTCCAGGGCAGTCACCATTCTTCTGACCTCCCCCTATCCATTATCAAATGGGAATGTGGAATTTGGGAACATCCAGGTCGAGAGAACTTCTGATACAACATAGATTAAGAGAGGAGGAAGTTTTCCACAGCAGCTGGAACTCTGCCACAGTGCAAAACCTGTGCCTGTCAGCTTATCCAGCCTCTGAAAACCATATTTATATGAATAAAAGATGTGTAGGCTGATTCATAATGCCTGTGAGCTGCAACTCTAATGCTCCTGACCCCTATGCAGTTCATCAAGACTCCAGGAAGTCATCTTGTCAAGAATAGGTGTCATCCAGCAGCTCTTTTCAGTTGTTGTTGTCATGTGCTGAGCCCTTTTGAATATCTGGCTGAGTCTGTTTACATATCACCTTTCTTTTCTAGGGACTTAAAACCTGAAAACATCCTCTTGGATTGCCAGGTATGTTCAGTACATTTGCAACCATACCTGCCTCCTGCATTTTCCTTCAAAGACTGAGGAACACTGGTCCAGAAGTCTTGGGTATGATGTAGACAGGAATAAGAAAGTGTGATACTTTCCTTCCTTCCTGTTTACCCATTCCTTCCTACATGTATGCACACACTTTACTGCATGGACTTAAAATATTCCAGCAGTGAGAGCCACAATTCTATGTTGCACTTGCAAATGTGCTATGTAATGTTGCCTTTGACTATCAAGGCACTGCTTGCATTTTCCCAGAGCTTGGGACCTGAGCACTGATATGTGAACAAGCAATTCAAGTGTTTTTATATAGCGGCTGTAGGCCAGGTGTCATATAGTGCCTATCACAGCAACTCTCTGAACAGGCCTAGGAATAAATATCTAACTGACTATGCCTAGCATTACAGTCTGGCTAGTCTAACAGGCCAACAGATAAATTCACTGTACATTTGTGAATAACTTTATATTGCCCATTTCTAATAGATGACTACATTGTATGCCCAGCAATTGGAAGGTATATCAGGGAGGGACACAGGGTCTAGAAACCTTGTTCAGCCTGTTCATCAGGAAGCGTTTGATCAGGCTTAAATCTCTTCCCTTAGGGACATGTCATCTTAACAGACTTTGGACTCTGCAAAGAAGGAATGGAGCAAGAAGAAACAACATCTACTTTCTGTGGCACTCCAGAGGTACAGCATAGACAACTTGAGAGTTTTGCTGGTGGTTGAACTCCCACTGAAATCAAAGCAAATGTACATCAGGCTATAAGCTTCTGTTTCTGTGCATGATACTGAACATGTTGGCATATGACTGAGCACTGTTTGCAGTATTTCTCTTACTAGTATAAATAATGGTCAATAGCTTATGAACAGATGGAACTGACACTTTCAAAAGAGGAATCACTGTCTCATTCATCCCAGTGGGTAGTTGTCTCTAACAGTGATGGGGGCTCCACTGTCCTTTTCCAGTGCTGTGTTTATTTGAAAAGCTGTGTCACAGGGAAAGGGGTTCAATTTTCAAAGATACAAATAGGGAATCTATGGAAGCCTTCCATTACGGGGGAAAATGGGATGAAATATGGTTGCTGAACCCTAGTCCACACAGGCTCTCTTTTTTTGACATGTATAGTTACTTCTTTCTTCTTTATAGTGTGGACACAGTTACTTTGGTATAAGGGTACTTAAATGATAAAAATGTCAACACTGGGCAGGGATTATAGTTGGAGAGGTACAACTTTTGTATATAAATGAATTTATTTTAACTTACAACAGGATTAATTTTTACTGATGGTCTTTGGGAGCTGAAGCAATTTTTTTGGAAAAACGTTGCAACCTGGGCAGGAAAGGGGGAGCCTGTTGATTCTGGAATGGCTGTGCCACAGAACCTGTCAATGCCATTGGTAGCTATGGTGATGTCCTGGCTTCCAGTATCAAGGTTATCTGCAGCTCTTCCCTTTCACTGTAGTGTTTACCTTTCTAGCTAGGAGTGAGCTATATAAGGTGTTTACTCACAGAGCATGGATGAGTTAATAGTCATCTGGTACTGACCTGCTTCTGAGGGCATCAGAATACTCTGAGGTCTAACTTACGGTATCTTGCCCCCTGGTTCTTGTGATGTCCCACTACTCAGTGATTTTTTTGTACCTTTTTACAGCCAGACCAGGGCCAATGTATTATACTCAAGAGTGTGAGGGATGCAAAATACTGGGGTAGTTGTGTCCCTTGTCTGGGAAGGATGCGTCTTAGGCATTCAGTTTTCAAAGTGCATTCTTTTTTTCCTCCCAACCCCCAAAGCTGCTGAAATATTTCTGACAGGAGCATCATTAGGCCTGACTGGAGTTGCTGCACTCAGTATATGGAATCTCTTCTTCCTTAGCAAATGAGGTTCCTAATCTAGGCTGGAGTGCTAAATCTCATCTTGTCATTGCTCCCTTGCCACTTTCCAGGCATGCTCAGTTCCCTTTAGCATGTGTAAGCTCAGAATTGCAGCTAATGCACTCATAATGAGGCCTCTATCTTATTGTATTGGCCCATAGACTGATCGGTAGAATAAGAGTTCAACAGAACTTGGCTACATCTACCCTTCCTGCCTGATGCTGAGATTGTTAGCTTGTAAAATAGCCTCATATTGCTGCATTTGGTGTGCAGTTGTATTTGAATTTTTGCATGATTCTTGCCAACAGGTAAGCAGTAACACAGATGCCATTGGCAGGGTTCCCAGATACAGTCTGTGGGGCTGGCAAAGGGTTTACTCCCAGCTCAGCTATGCATCAAAAATCTTCTGTCAATGGAGCTCTACACCCACAGAAGTCTTTTCATGGTGGTTATAAGGAAGGGAAATCTGCATCTTGGGTTTAGCTGTGTTAGACTTGTACTTGCTAGTAATTTTGGAAGCAGCTGTGCATCTATCACAAGAGCTAGCCTGCTGCACTGAGTTCTTGTTAAAGTCCCTTGTTCAAAGTTGCCTAGGGAGAGAAAAGGCTTTACCCTCTTTAGAAAAGGTCTAAATGTATTGCTTTTGTGCAGAGAAATTATTTGTTAAAAAGGTAGCAGGCATCACATCTGTGTCACTGTAATGTGCTTTTTGAGCTTAACTAAATTTAACCAGGAGGGACACTAGTCATGGGGATCCATTCCTGGGACCTTACCTGAAACCTCTCTGACTCTTCACAGTACCTGGCTCCAGAAGTGCTAAGAAAAGAGCCCTATGACAGGACCGTAGACTGGTGGTGTCTAGGAGCAGTCCTCTATGAGATGCTGTTTGGGTTGGTAAGTGTTAAAATCCCCCGCTACTTCCTGCTGAGGAGCAGAGGGACTATGGTTTACTGAGGCAGTTCCCTGCTTAAGGAAGCAAGACCAATGATCTCAGTCTAAATGAAAGTACTTATTTCAATAATTATCATATTACTAAAATAAGTGTAGCCTGTCTCTGTCACCCATTCACTGTAGAAATGAAATTTGAATTAATTGGCTTGTTTGCATGCTTCATTGCAGTAGCTCATGTCTTTGCTGATTCTCCTCTTTCCATCAGCCCCCTTTCTACAGCCGAGACGTGTCTCAAATGTATGACAACATTCTGCATCAGCCACTTCAGGTCCAAGGAACCAAGACCATGGCAGCGTGTGATATCTTACAGGGACTTCTCCACAAGGATCAGAAGAGGCGGCTAGGAGCCAAGATGGACTTTGTATGTGGTTTTTCTTGTATTAAGATATTTCCTCTCCACACCCTTACTTTAAGTCTCTTTCCTCTCTCTCAATAACTATACACAACGGAAGATCCTCATCTGAAGTCTTCCTAAACGTCAAGATGCTGACTATTCTCCCCTTTCTAGGGTATCATTCAAACCCTGGATCTTACAGCTTTGCTTTGCTTGGTTGCATTTAAAAGCATTATATGTATTGCATATGAGTTCTGAATTGCAGGTTGTCTAAGTGTAAAGAAATATGACTTGGTTGGTTTGGGCAGGGGGTGAAGTTTCCTGCTGGTAATGCAACAGGAAACTCTTTAGCTTGTAATTGCACACTGAACTTCAGGACCTGCAGGGGAGAGATTTTGTTGTTATGGGTCAAGATATAGGGATAGGCTGGCTTGGCAGGATAGGGTTGTATCATTTTGTGTATGATCTAGTAACTCACAAAGCTTTATGCAGATCAGATGCTCTTCCCCCCATGGTCTATGCTACAGCACATTGAAGCAGTAAGTTGTAAAGCTGCAAACTGCTCCAGAGGAGCTTGTGTCTGTTCTGTGACTGCTGGAGAAAGATGGTTGAGGAGGATTGACAGGGAAGTGACTTCCATCTCCTTCTTTGCAGTTGGACATAAAGAATCATGTTTTCTTCAGCCCAATTAACTGGGATGACTTGTATCACAAGAGGATCACGCCTCCATTCAATCCCAATGTGGTAAGTGGCTGTTTCAAAACCAATTTCCTCTACATGAGTAGTAGAAAAGGAACTGCGAACTGTAATGGTTAGGTATCCTGTTCAAATGTTTTGGCTGCTTCCAGTTATGGGAAGAAGCTAAAAATGTAATTCCCTGGAAAATGACTTGCATCTTCTGCCTCCCCCCCCTTCCTCCCCCCCCGTGTTCCCTTCCCTTTATACAGTCTCTGTTTGTCATAACTCCATTTGCCTGGCCATGATTATGGCAGAGAAAATAGGAATTCTTAACTTTGTGGGAAGGAGCAACATAGGGAAAAGTGAACACTGCATTCCCCTTTCCCCAGGAAAAAAAACTGTTTTAATGCTGATAGCTAAAGTCATTCAAGTAAATTTCTTGGAACTCTTAAGTTCTTGTCTCTTGTGTGGGAACATCAACATCAAGATAAGGGCTAGGTTACAGCTATCTAAAAAACACTATCTAAAATATATAATCTGACTGATATCTTAGGCCTGTTAAGTTTGCTATGATAGGCAGCTTTGTCTTCTGTTTTTTAGGCTGGTCCTGCTGATCTGCGACACTTTGATCCAGAGTTCACTCAGGAAGCAGTCCCAAACTCCATCACCCGCACACCTGACCTTGCAGCCAGCAGCTCCAGTGCATCTGATGCTTTTTTAGGGTTTTCTTATGCACCAACTGATGAGGACTTCTAGACTTTATATAGGGCTTGGGGAGCCCAATTTTAACTCTGGTCTTGTTTTTAAGAAAAGGTACTGCCCTTTTGCTTGTGACTGTTAAGAAATTTGGAATAACCTACTAATTGGAACGGAACAGAATGGAACTCTTCTGATATCTGATGCACAGCACTGTCCTGAAAGCGGCCCTTCCTCTGGTAGGGAGGATGCTGAACTTTGTGTTTGGAATTTTGTACACCTGAAAACTGAAGTTCTTTAAGACAATGGAGTTGTAGTTAGAAACTTTGCCATTGTTTGTGTTGCATTCCTGTAACTGGTTTACTTTCGCTTGTTTGTCTACCTCCTATTCCCACTTCTGGTGCAGGATTTTCCAACAATACAAGACATACTTATTCCATATGTCACTTCTGGGAGAGGGGTACGAATGGAAATGGATTCATTACTTAAATGTGCACCAGTGAGCAAGTTTCCTTGAACTTTTGTTAAAGCAGTTCATAAAGGAATAGCACACTGGGTGTAACTGGACTGTGCTAATATGCATAGCTTAGTAATTCATCTCCCTGTCTTGAGAGGTTCAGATTCTTTGTTCATGTTTGTGAAGCTCTGATGCTCTGCCGCAGTGACATTATGGTTACTTTGCTGCTCTAAGGAGGCGGCCTGGAATCTGCTTATTGTAGATGTTTCACTTCAACTGTTTCTCCAGTCACAGACTTTTCTTAAGTCAAAGTAACTCCTTCTACGGATAGAAGCTGTGCAACTTGAGGGGATTCTCTTTCCTTTCTCAGTCCTGGGCTGCCTATAAAGGGTTGAGAAGGCTGTAAAGATTCCTCTTGCCTCAGCTTGCAACTGAGGGATGTAATGTGCACAGCGGTTCCCAATTAAAAGTTAAAAGAGGGAGCTGGACCATGGCTGGCTGGATTGGCCTGTTGTACTCTTATAATAATGTACCACTCCTTGAAAGGAAGGGGGAAAGCTTTCATTGCTCAAAGCTGGGTTCTGTTAGTACTTGGCAGTTCCTCTCTGAAAACAAGCTGCAGAACCAGCATGTCCTAGCACTCGATTATTGCATGAGGCACAATCCCACGTCCGCTTCAGGGCCTGCGCAGAGCTTCCCCGTCCATGCGGGCAGCTGTTGGCTACATCAGGTCCCCCTTGCTGGGCTCAGAGCAGTAGGCAGTTGCTCCCTTTGTTTTTGAAGGCAGCCTCCCAGCTTTATTGAAACCAAGGTGGATCTGCAAGCACCCAGAAAACTGCCAAGTTCTAAAGCGAGTTGTTGTTATGTGCTGTGCCTTAAAGCTGCTTGGCTGCGGGGAGGAGAAAGGCATCTGGGATTTGATGGGGCGGCCTCCTTGTATTAGTCTCACTGTTTCTGCAGCGGGCCCAAGGGCCTCTTCTCTGGGTTGTGTTGTGCTCTGGGGAGGCTGGTGCCAGAGACGGAAAGAGGGGGTGGGGCACGGCCCTGCATAAGGTTTCAACGTACCCAACTTTATCCTGGACAGATGAAGCAGGGGTTTGTACCGAAGTAAACGTGCTCCAACTCCTCTTGGTTGAAGTGGGCCCAGCTGCTCCCCCCCAACCGCCCTGCCCATGCATGTGCAGTAGCCCCGCGCCAAGCGGGAACATCCGTGCGTTCCCCACCCGTCTCTGCCTTGGTACGGGCCAAGGAGGCCCCAACCCCCCTTTCCTCTAGAGCAGCGGTCTCCAACTTTTTTGTTCGTGCACCCCTATCAGTAAAAAATTTTGGAGCACGCATCCACAATATATGTATATTTATATAAATATAAGTTCTAATATGTCTTCCCGCGCCCCAATGGATCGTCTTGCACACCCCACTTCGGAGACCACTGCTCTAGAGACTGGTAGGAGCCCGGGCAGCGCGGCAAGATTGGGGAAGGTAGAGGCGGAGCATCTGACGTCATCGTTCGAAGCGGGCCCTCGGGCACCACTCGAGGCCGGAGCTTGTTTGACTCGTACTGCCCCCCGTACTTCACGGAGCGCTTCGCCCGTGTGCAGGCGCATGCGCACTGAGTGGGACGGTGGGTTGCTAGGCTGAGGGCGGCCCTTAGTTACCGAACCTGGCGGGGCCGGAGTATGGTGCTGACTCCGCAGGTACCGTCTGTCTGCAGCGCCGGGTTGGGGTCGCCCCCTTGCGTGGGCTCAGCGGGTCACCGCCTCGGGTGCACGGAAGCGGGCTCCCTCCGGCGTGCCCGGCGCTGCAGTGGTGACAGCAGGGCCTGGTGTGCGGGGCCCAGGCCGGGACTGCTCGGGGGCCTCCGTGCTGCCCCGCACCCCCCGGCTCCCGGCGTGCTGCCCAGGCCGTGCCGGGCTTAGGGCAGATTCTAGGCGGCCCCGTGATCCCTGGACGCCCGCGCGGGTCGTGGTGGCAGCAGCAGGGGCGACTCGCATCGGGGCCGCTGTGCGGTCCCTCGGGGATGCTGGTCTGCCGCGCTTTGAGAAACCTGCGCTGTAGCCTGGCATTTCTCTGCCATTGCAGGGTCTCTAGAAACGGCCTCTGCACAAACCTCTCCTCATTGTCTAGGGCACCTGCTGACAAGCCACCTTCATCCTTTAGGTGGTCTCCACTTCCTGCCCTGAGATGACATTGAATGGGGGTATGTGAATAACAAGAAGTTTGCACATGTGTTTATGAGCATGGCTGAGAGGATCCCTCTAGTTCAGGCCCGCTGATACTCTACGGTCTTTTTCAAACTAGAAAAAAAATATAAAACCTGTAACAAGCCATTATAGCAGCTATATGAGTAAGAGCCCAAAGGTAGACCACACGCAGGTATTTTTGCCTTTGTATGTAGAGCTGCTCTGATGTTCTTGTTGTTATAAAATGTCAGAAGTGTGGTTAACTTTTATGGAAAACAAAAAGGGTCCTGGTTCCCAAAAATTTAGAGCAGCACCCTCTCAATCATTCATTAGATTTCAGTCATTGAAAACTACAAAGGAATAGCATTAGACTGAAAGCCTGTTTTTGTGATTTTTTTTTTCCAATACAGAATACTAGTGAATCTAATTACATTTTTAATTAAGGCTATTGAAGAAATAAAATGGGAAGTCTTGTATATTTGTATACTTCTTGGGGTGTTTGCCTGGCTGGCTGTTGTGTGATGATTTTATGTGTTTGTCTACAGAATGCTGTAGTAAACTTTTAACAACAACAGAAAATCCTAGCCTAATTCTTTTAGTACAGATATGCCATTCCTGCACTGACACATTGCATACCTGCATGTGCCTGTATGTGTTCCTTGTTCACAGTCATGAAGAATCTGCTTGTTCTTTACACAAAGTTTGCCGGTATGAAATAGTATATTTTTGCTTTTGCTCTGTTTTTTGCATTCATTCTCAAGGTTACTATGGAGAGAGATCCTCGGAACATCATTGTCTTCAATGCATCCAAAAAAGAGATTTTTACTGTCAACAGTGGTTTTAAGTCTTTACAGAAAAGGCTTCGCAGTAATTGGAAGATACAGAGGTGAGGAATTGGCTTTCTTTTTCACTCCTTGTAGCTTCTAGGATGCATAAAGGTGAAACTGATATATGTAGTAAGTTACTTGTAAAGTAAGGTCAGTGCAGTTGAGACCATTTTTATGATGACATTTGAGGTACTTCATAATATATTGATGTTTGTGGATATTCATAGCAAATCAGAAGAGCATTAACCTGTAGCTCTGCTGTGGGGTGGCTTTGAAGGTCTTTAATTGAACTTTCAGATACTGGGCTTTGTAAGTTTACGCAATCTCTGAGGCTATCCCACTGGTTGTTTTTTTTTAGAATGCTTATTTGCCTTCATATTGAATTAAGATTTGCTGTTACTATTCTGCAGTAAAAAAATATTAAGCTTAAAATTACGGGTGCATTGGATTTTTTGGGGGGCTGATACTGATAGCCGACTTTTAAGGAGGCATATCGGCCATTACCGATCTGATTTCTGATACACAGCCTGGAAGCTTGAAGAGCAGTGTCCAGCTAGTAAGTCTGTTGTGGTGGAAGGGGGGAGGGAGTAGGGGGCAGATAGAGGCCCCTGCAGTGAGGGAAGGAGTTGGGCTGGGGCAGGTACTGCACAGCTGGGGTGGGGCATGGGATGGAGCTGCAGCTCATCTGAGAGGTGTGGGGAGAGGGGCCGGCTCCCACTGCTGCATGCATCCTGGGAGGGCATGGCTGGTGTGTGCCCCCAGATCTGCATGTGGGGCCAGGTGGGCTGCCGCTGGGGTGGGGCTGTGCTGGGATGTTCCTGGCAGGGGACTGGGCTGGGACTGGCAGCGGTGGGAGGGAGTTACAGGGGGGCTGCAGCTCCTCGCCGCCTACATGCTGTGCTGCAGCTGCGCGCATGCACAGGGCATTTATCGGCTAAATTATTGGTCACATCAGGCAAAGACTATTTCCAAGACTGTCAATTTTCCTTATATTGGACTGATCCGGTGATCCGGCACCTCTTTTTAAAATAAGAGTAAAAAAGCATAAATCAACTGAAGTGTTCCTTTGCTTTTAAAATAAACTGCAGTTAATGACTCATTCATGAACTATGTATAAAATTACTATGTAACATGTTTTAATTAATCTATTTATAGTTTAAAAGATGAGATCACATCTGAGAAGCTGATGGGGGTAAAATTGTGGATTACAGCAGGGCCCAGAGAGAAATTCACCGCAGCTGAGGTGAGAAACACGTAGAAAGGAGGAGGAAAAGACAAAAGTGATTTGCATACTAGTTATTTTTCCAGTTATTTTTTGCCTAGAAAGAAACTTGAGTAGATGACATACAGCATTATATGATAGCACTGTAGTTTGGAAATCTTGTTTTACATGTGTTTAGATTTGAATGCTTTTTTGCAGGATCAAGCTGATTTCAAATAATTAAAACTAGATACCTTGCTCATTTCTTTACAGTCTTTTTGAGTACTGTTCTTAGCTGCCTGATTGTATTCCTGTGTTTCTATCTTATTGTTTAGTTTGGGGTTCTGAAGAAATTCCTGGAAGAGGGTGGGGATATCCTGGTGATGCTGGGAGAAGGTGGTGAATCCCGATATGACACCAATATTAACTTCTTGCTAGAAGAGTATGGGATCATGGTCAATAATGGTAACTGAGTTTATTCCAGTCTTTTTTTACCCCTTGCTGGCAAAACCTTTGGAATATTTCTACTATCTGTAGATAGTTTCCTATAAAAAAAAATAGTTTAGTGTAATATTTGAACATGTTTTAGGTTTTGAAATCCATATTTTTATTGTAATGCAGAATGAAACTGAAGCCTGGCCAAAGACTTTTTGTATATGGAATAATTTTATAATCCCCAACACATTTCCATCTATTTAGCACATCAGGTAGTTGAAAAGTAATTATTGATACATGTTAATACCAGCATAAATGGATTTTCACAGTCGCAAGCTACTTAGTGGGTTATTAGAATTTCACTTGTAATTCATGGTAGATGATGGGACATGTTGTTATAAGTATTTATATCTTGTTGGGGAAAAAAGGGTTCTCTGAGAGCTGAATTAATACTTATTTTCAATCCAACAGTGATTTTTTTTTTTTTTCTTTTTGAGCTACTGAGTAAAATTTTATCTAATGGTTCCGGAGATATCAGAAGCAGTGTATTCTCACCAAATGAGGCATTTTTCATTTTTTTAATGATGGGTCGATGTTGGGTGTTCTAGTTCACATTCTTATATCAGATAAGTTCAACATACTTTAGGTAACTTCTAAGGCATGTAAAGAGAGCTTGAACCTGTAAGACTAGATTATGATTTTAAACTAGTGATCCTGTTTGCACTTGCAGGAAATTGCAGGTTCAGGAGAAGACATGTACACATATGATTGTAGATATCTACATATTTTCATTTGAGCCTGTAGATGAGTGTTTCCAAAATTATTTGAAGGTCCAAATCTGCAGGTCCAAAAACAGGCACCAGGTTAAGGCTGTTTTAATTTATGCTTGGAACCAAACCAGCCCTAGGATTAAAATGGCATTAAAAAGAAATATTATAAGTATCAACAAGTGAACTTGTGTCTCCTTAGTCTGCCTCATGTTCTAAGCACTAAATGTGCTTCCTCCATGGAAGGGAGGAGATTACATTTTAAAGATAAAAAAAAAAAGATTTAATGCTTTTTCCTTTCTTCCAGATGCTGTAGTGAGAAATGTATATTACAAGTACTTCCACCCTAAAGAAGCCCTGGTTTCTAATGGAGTTTTGAATAGGTAATTGTTCTGAGGATCACACAATAGTAGGGTTGGATGGGATCTTGAGGGACATTTGGTTTAATCCCCTGCATGAATACAGGAAAACTATTTCTAAATCACCTATAAAGAATCAATGCTTGAGATTCCATGGCTCTCTTCGGCAATTTGTTCCACTGCTTCACTGTTCTTACAGGATGTAAACTTGTAAATAGTGCTGCTGTAAATCTGTGGCGTTTTCATTGGTCTTTCATTGATTGCCATCTCAGGGAAATCAGCAGAGCTGCAGGGAAAGCAGTACCTGGGATAATAGATGAAGATAGCAGTGCAAATAACTCTCAGTAAGTATCTTTCCCACATCAGCCTCTTCAGAGGAAAGATTGAGTGTGAGCCTGAAGTGTTGTTATATTACTGGCACAGTAGGCAAAGTGGCAGTGGTTTGTCAGATGTGAGATTCATGTCTGAGTGTCGGCTTCTTGTTCCTCAAGCTTCATGACTAAAAGGGAGGATTTCTTCATTGGTATGTGCCAGCTCATCAAGAAGAAACAAGGATGGATTCTGAAGGGAGACCTAACTGTTCCTCCTATCCAGTGCTGTCTTGGGCATAGTACATAAAAGATAACCAAAATCGTACACAGCTACTTACTAAGAATTTCAGCCTGAAAAATTTGGAGGGCAACATCTTGTCATGTTCACCAAGATTTTAAATAATGTGCTTTTGTGAACATACAGCATACCTGAAACACAACTGCAAGTTAGAGTTTGTATAGACTGATCTGGATTTGTACATGTTTCCAAAGCATGCATTCAAAATCTTAGCCTCAGCCTGTTTAATACTGAAGACATTACAGTAAAATCTCTGTTATCTGGTGTCTCCGGGCTAAGGGGATTGCTGGTTATGTAAAAATTCCAAAACAGAGAGCGGATGGGAAAGGGGGTGGCTGCTGCATGGGGAGGGGTGTGCGATGGTGGCGGCCCATGGAGCAGTGGTAGTGCAGGGTGGTGGGTGGCAGCGGCAGCTGCATGTGGGGGGGGGGGGGGGAGGGAGGCAACGGCTGCATGTGGAGCGGTGTCAGCACAGGGTGGTGGGTGGCAGTGGCTACTGCCGCCCGCAACCTTTTGCCTGCCCCTGCTCTGCATCTGGCCAGCCGGAAATTCGAGTTAATAGAATTTCTGGTTACTTAAATGCTGAATAGCAGAGATTTTATTGTAGTAAAATTCTTACTTTTTTTTGCAGAGCTCTCACTTTTGTGTATCCATTTGGTGCCACTCTGAATGTGATGAAACCAGCAGTGGCTGTTCTGTCCACGGGGTCTGTATGCTTTCCACTAAATAGACCCATTCTGGCTTTTTACCAGCATAAGGTACAGTGTTGGATGAAATAAATGAGTCATTCCTCAGTAAAGTAATTCTGATACTTTTTAACAATCTAATTTTTATTTGACATCTTATTTACCTAGAGACTCCTCCCCAAATGTTCACAAAGAATGCAGACACAGTGTGAAGTATGAAGTAATTTACCTTAGATAGTATTCTGTAGTGATTTGCTTAGCAATTGGGCATGGACACCCCACTAGATCTCCTAAGTTGGGTACCTGCAGTAGACAGTGCTATCGTGTTACAGTGCTGCTTTATGAGTCATCTGGCACTGTAGCAAGCATGCTAGTTTGCACTGAGCAAAGTGCATTCCTTTTAAAATTGATTTGATAACCAGACATAATAGTACAATGGTGTATAGTAATTCTCACTTTGAGACATAACTTACCCAGGATTGGAGTATCTTACACTAAGGCTGTGCATTATATGTCTGCTTCATTTTCACTACAGAGTAAAGTCAAGTTTACTCTATAGTAAATGTGTTGCATGTTCATATCCAAAATTATGCACATGTTGTATAAAACAGGCCCCATCACTTAGGCAATATAAGTATATAAAGATTATATGATTATGATTACAGAGTTGCTACCCATCTAAGGTTGAGTGAAACTGAGACAGCATTTTCCAAATGACAGTCCACAGCTGTCACAGCAAGCAAAATCATGATAATTTTCTTACCTATTATCTCCTGACATGCATGCATGGAGCAAAAGAATGCACTTGTGATAATCTTCACAGGTAACAGACATACACACGTGCAATATGTTAATCAAATCACATAAAGGTATCTGAACTTCACTGGGTACAGCTTTGTTTCAACACTGCTACTGTTTAGCTGTGTTCTGATCTGTTTTCCTGTACCAGTTTGGGGAGATGTTTCCCACCTGATAAGTAAAATAATCAAGCTGTGCTATAGATTAAAACTTAAAGAATTTATCTTTACATCTGTCTTGTTTGTCATATGTCATTAATAATTGAAATCTAACAATTGCAACATGGAAGAAAATCTCAGATTCTCTGTAGTGGCCAGAGAAACCAAATTGAAAGAATGAATTTAAATACAGTGGTTGCTAGCCTGTTCCTGTTACAAAGTTAATGGGACATAAGCGAGTAATGTATTTTAAAGGCTTTATATTTTTAAAAAAGTGAAAATAATCTCTAATTATCCCTGAATATGTAAGTGCCTTAGTACCTGATTTAGTGAAAACTTAGTTTTTATATGAAAAGTTGCTAATCTGATGCTCTCTTAAACTGATTTAGATTTTCAGTTACATGTCTAGACCAAAATTGTATGCAGATGCATCTAATTCGTTATTTGTGTATGTGATCTGATTTCAGTGCATGAGTGAGACAGGAAAGGCACAAAGCTGCCCTAGTTTTATAAACATTGTCTGCTTTTCCTAAAATGGGGAAACTTCTTTGCATCAGAGTTCAAGTCATTCTGTTCTTGCTACAATAAAATACCATGAATACCTGATGTGGAGAATCAACCTTTAATTGGGCATCTCTTGCTTTCATGTAGTTGGAGGAAATTATAGGTAAAATGCTGGAAGCTGAAGATAATGGTAGAATTTCTGTTAGGGCAGAGAAAAGGATTAGAAAGAAAATACATAATATGTTTGAGAGAAATGAGGTAGGATAAAGAATGGCAGTAGGTAAACTTAGCTGGAAAAGAAACAGTAGAGGAAGAGGATGCTATCCTGCTGCAGTGCTGTGCAGTAAAAAGCTACTTTCTTTGTTTTTAGCTTACTGGGGTCTCATACTAAGCTGTAGCTGTAAATAGGAAGTAGAACTTTTCCATTTGTATGAAAAGTAGACTAGGGGTGCACTAATAAAGGGTTTTTTGGGCCGATACGGATGTCTGATTATTAACGAGCCATATCAGCTGATACCGATTGATTGTTGATATGCAGCCTGGCAGCTTGCAGAGCAACATCTGGCTGGTAAGTCCACTGGGGGGAAGGGGTGGGAGGGGGCAGATCAAGGCCCCTGTGGTGAGGGGGAGGGAGTAGGGCTGAGGCATGGGCAGGTTCTGCACAGCTGAGATGGGGCTGGGACAGAGCCATGAGCAGCTCATCTGGGGAACGTGCAGCGGCAGTTCCTGCTGCTTGGCACACTTCTGGGGGAGCTATGAGCAGTGTGTGCCCCCTGGATCTGTGTGTGGGCAAGAACAGGCTGCCTCTGCAGGCTGGGGCTGGGGTTAGTGCCAGGCTCTTCCTGACCGAGGTGGGGGGGGTGGGGAGGATTGAGCCAGTCTGCACTTGAGGCCGGCAGCAGTGCTGGGAAGGGAGGGCTACAGCAAATTTTTGGGGTGGCTACAACCTCCCCACAACCCCTCTGTAGTCCCCACTCCCAACACTGCCACTGCCCACCCTGAGCCTGGCCTCAGCCAGCAGTGGCAGTCTGACCTCGCCCCGTGCACAAATCCGGGGGGGCACATGCCCCCCATGGTTCCCTGGGGGTGTACCGAGCGGTGGGAGCTGCCTCCCCCTTTGGACGAGCTGCCTGCAGGTCAGTCCTGTACACTGCCCCAGCTGTGAAGCACCTGCTCCAGCCTCATACCCTCCCTCACTGAGGGGGCCTCAGTCTGCCCCCCCACGCCTGTCTTCCCCAACAGACTTACCAGCTGGATGCTGCTGTCCAAGCTGCCAGGCTGGCTGTATGCATGCTGCAGTTGCATGCGTGCACGTGGCATTTATTGGAGACATTATTAGCCACATCAGCCAAAAAATTCTGATTGTCGATAATCTCAATTTTCCTTTTGTTGGTTCCGATATGATATGGACCAATGTATCGGTGCACCTCTAAATTAGACCATTATGCTTATTCTTTATTCAGTCTAAGAATGCTGGAGCCCTATCTGAAGCACCTCTAAGATCTTTGCAACCACAGTTGTATGCTTGTATCATTTCCTATGAATTTAAGATTTGGTGCCAGCAAATAATGCTATTTCTCATGTGTGTCTGTGGGGGAGAGAGGTGGGGAATCTTTTTGTAGGGAATAATGTAGTTATTTCTTCATCTGACATTTTTAATTCAGCTAGTTAAATAAGTTTGGTTGTATCTTTTGAAACTCTTTTTATGAAAAGCAAAAATTACCTTCGTTAGCTAGCTTGGGGCTATAAAAATGATGCTGCATCACTCACAGGTTCAGACTGTGAAATGCTTAAGAAAGAGCTTAAAGAAATTAGTTCTTTTACTTAAGAATCACTTAAGAGTCTCTCTTACCATATTGAAGAAAATGTCATCTCTCTCTCTCCCTCCCTCCCTAAGAAAGGGGCCAAAATTGCAATGAGATGCATACAGTTCACTTCTAGTTGATGCAATCCTATCTGTTGCTCTGATTTGTGGGTAGTCTGCCAAATATTTAGTTTTTATAACTGAAGATCAGTACTACTTTTAATTAGAAAGAAATTAGTTAAAGGAATATATTTATTTTATATTAATGCTGCACATGTAAGACTATGTCTTCCTTAGATTTTCCTTTAATTAAATATCTGAATAATTTAGACTAGAGTAACAATTCCCTCAAAAAATTGTTCTGGAAAATTTTTTTGATGTATTAATTTTGTTAACAGAACCGAGGTGGAAAACTGGCAGTTTTGGGATCTTGGCACATGTTCAGTGATCAGTATTTGGATAAAGAAGAGAACAGCAAGATCATGGTAAATGTTTAAAAATATACTTTAATGACTTACAGGTATTTTATAGCATTAACAAGAACAGTCAAGAGTTGCAGTTTGTTTCCAGAGACTGGATACTAGCACTGCTATAAAATAATTAAGAGATGGAGATGCATATATGATAGAAATTTCTACAGGTAAAAATAGTGAGTTAGGTGCCTCAAAAATGTATTCTTTGTCTGGCAGAACTCTGGAAAACTTTAGTAACCTTTGCCCTCTGAATTTTTTCCTCTTCTTTTTTTTTTTTTTTAAATATGTAATATTTTTAGGGTAATTACTTAGCTAGAAACTACCTACAGTTAAAATGTGGCATCATGATCAGTAATGCTTTCCACTTTATAGCTGCTTTCACCTAAGAATTGTAAAATGTTTTTACAAAAGTACATATATATCTTCATCTGTAAAAAGGGGGGTGTTGATTTAAGTGAGTTGGGGATTCACAGAAGTTGAATGACATGTTTGTGTTCATGTGAAAAAAGATATTTGAATACTTGGTCTTCTTACTATCATTCCCATGTTTTAAGTAGTGGACAGACGCATCATTTTACCTGATGTATAAGGTAAAGGGTAGTTCGGATGTTCTTTCATCTGTATGGGTTTTGATATAGGGCTATTTATGTCTTCCTGTCTTTTTGAACATGTTTATAGTTAAAGGAATAATTCTGACTGACTGATGAAATTCTAGACCATTTGAGAACTGTCCTGTTTGCGTTGCTGTTCAAACTTGTTGAGGATGTAATTTCAAATCAACCTTTCCTAAATAAGTGCAACTCGTATGTAGTTCCTGGACTTGCAATCGCTTACATCAGTAGCTTTTCCTCAGGGTCCTTTTCCAGTACTGTAGCTTATAGTATATACTATGCAAGAATTCTTTATAAAAGTACAAGTCAAAAATTGTTTGCCGGTTATCAGAACCATCTTTAAAAGCATTTATGGATTTCTGGAAATTTACATTTTTCAGGCGAACTAAATTGTCTTTGTTCTCATGCCTTGCACGATATCTGTAGAATACTGCAAATTTTGTATATCTGCAGTATGCAAGCCTTGATATGTTTCTATAAGTAAACACGATCTGTGTTCCTATTACCTATTTTGTTCTGATATACTTCACTGTTATGTTGGAGTTCTTTCATGTTTACTCCTTCTCTTCTAGTATTTTTCATCAGTCAGATTTGGTAAGGAATTTAATTGTTTAACATTATAGTAAATTATTCAGATACTCCAGAAACCCTGCTCTGTGTTTCCTCAGGATGTACTTTTCCAGTGGCTTACAACATCAGACCTCCATTTAAACCAGATTGATGCAGAGGACCCAGAGGTAAGAGAGATGTGGTTTAGTAAATTATCTTTTAATCCAGCAGGGTTGGTTTAACTGAAGGATCTGCCTGGTACACCATAACTAAAGACTATATCAATGTTATTACTTACCTTGCTTTTCAAGATTGTTGGGGGAGGGGGTATGTGTGGCATAAAAATTAATAGATTAGGATTCATTATTATTTGGACTGTGATTTAGTATAAAACTTCAATCATGGAGGTGCATGTTTTCAATATGCCTCATGCCAGATACATTAGTTTAGTTTAAATATTTTTGAAAATTGGACTGCTCCAGTGTGAAACTTGGGCATCTGAGCTTAGACTTAGCTTCTAAAGTGTTGAAGATCTTTGTGAGCCCATCAATCCAGAGGGATAACTTGGTTAAGGCATGCTAGTTTGTGCCAGCAGTGGCATACAAAGGAGTAATGTGACTAGCATCTCATCCAATCACCTTTTGATTTCCCAGTCCATATAACCATGATGATCCCAGTTACAATTTTGTCAGCTGGGGGTAGCTTTTGGTGCAAGGCTGGAGTAGGACTTGAACTCTTGTCTATAGCAGGGTGCCTTAACTGCTCTTTTGCTATACCCTTTACTTCAGAAGTAAGCATGGAGCAAATAGCACGTGTCTGTAGCTAAGCAGAGATTAACCAATTAACAAGTTTGTGGAACCTTTCTTAAACAAAAAAAAAAGATGTATACAAATGTTTCTTCTATCTTAATTTAAAAATACCCTGCATGCAGAAGGGAAGAGAGAAGTGTTGTGTAAACAACACATGCAATTTATTCTTGAAACGTTCATTTAACAAGCTTGCAAACCTTTGAACAGCAGTGATACTGGTATATGTGAAGCATCTGTTTGTTCTTGAAGTACAGGAGGGTGGAACTGTGGTCTTTGTTCATTCAGAATAAGGAGTGAGCTGCCTTCACTCTGTCTTTACAAGTGAGAGCCTGATGGAAATTCAAATATATCATCCTTGCAGCAGTGGGAGCAGGATTAGCGTGACGAGTTCACACATCTGTCTTTGCATAAAGAAGTAAGGCTATTTGGAATAGCAAGGGTGCAGGACAGCTATTACTGCAAAATTGAAATATATAAATTTAGCTGTAAAGTATTTGCTCATGCTGATTATTACAACAACTTTGCTTTAATGTATTATTTTCCCCCTTTCTTTTTACAGAAATCAAATGGTTTTTACATAAAACAAGTACTTCATAGCACTCCTAAAACCAAATCCAGGGTCTGTAGCATGATGAATAACACATGAGGAAATGTGCTAAAGCTAATTTTTTGTTTCTTCACTTAAATCTCATCAAGAAAGAACGAGGAAAAGAAAACTTCAGCTACATGAAAATCCCTTCACTTCTAACAATGTTATGGTGTTCAGATTTCAGACTATACAATGCTTCCGGATACAGCCACGCTGTCTGAGCGACTGCGGGTATGTCTGCAAGAGGGAGAAGAGAATCCCCGAGACTTCACTACACTCTTTGATATGTCTATTTATCAGCTGGATACAGCTTCTCTTCCTAAAGTGATCAAGTCAGTAGCCATGAATTGTGGGTTTTTTGGTTTTCTTTTTTTGGGGTATGTTTAAGCCTATGTTTAATAAGGAAAATGTGTTCATTACCCTAATGTATTAAAATATTACTGTAGTGTGTTTTGCAGATAAATACACTGAAGTGTTACCCTAGGACACTTGGGTGTAAACATACCATGGGTCAAAAAATGTGACAGCCTGACTTTGTCTTATTGCAGTGATTCTTAACATTTCCAGACACAAGCCACCCTTTAGTAGGCTTCAGGCCCCTCCCCCCCCCCAAGAAAATGCCAGCTCTTAGTTTTCATGCATTTTTTACTACAGAAAAGTATTAGAGAAATTCTTCTCTTGCAGAGAACTCAGAAATATTACAACAGGTCAGAATGTTTTTAACACTATGAATTCCTTTTTGAAATCTCTGGGTTTATCTTGTGAATCACATTTGTACACCTAACAGTGCTAACATTGTATGGCATCCTTGAGGATCTTAAGGGACCCCAGGGTACTGTGGCACTGTGGTTGAGAATCACTGCCTTATTGAATGCTTGCCTGTTTTCTAGAAGCTTTATAGTTGTCATAGAGATTAAAGTTACGTTATTACTGTAGTCATTATAGATCCTGTGACATTTCTTTGCACAAACAGGGTGTTTAGCTTGGCATTCTGTGGAAATTTCAAGTTCCCAGGTTGCAGGTAACATAGGCAGGTGCTAAGCATTCATTCTATTATCTTTTCCTACTTTTAGACTTAGCCTTTTTCTGTGTTGTAGATCTTATGAACAGCTAAATGTAAAGCATGAACCTCTTCAGCTCATTCAGCCTCAGTTTGAGACTCCGCTACCTGCACTTCAACCAGCTGTGAGTAATCTTACATGCGACTGACAGCCAAGATTATCCTCCTGCTTGTGGCTTAACTTGATCATCTCCATAGCTCCTTACTTTAAAGAAACTAGAGTATTAAGCTCTTGAGAACCTTGGTACACCCCAGAGCCTACATTTTAAGAAGTAGACCTCTCTTTGGGCTTGTGAACTAGACTTTAGTCTAGTCTTGTGATTTGAGAACCACTTCCAAGGTGCATACAGGGATTAAACAAAAAGCTGCCAGCAGAACTCATTACTTGATATTGTGCTTTGAATAATCCATACATCTAGAATTTTCTTACATCTCCTTGCTTCCTGTGTACTCCTGTGACTAGTGGTGTCCAGCTTTCTCAGTGTGAAGATGAAACGTGTTATTTCATAAGGCTTAGTATCTTATCTATTTCCCTGGGTTCAGGAAGTCAGTCAGGCTTCCATCCTACCCTCAGTGCTCCCACAGCCCAGCGGGGAATTATAAAATGAAGCAGCAAGAATTGTCCTTTTTACTCTATCCATTTTTCCTTTAGTAGTGTCAGACCAAAGGAAGAATGTCTCTTCTCTTTTTGACCCATACAAAATTTCCAGTGTCGATGCATTCATCCATTTAGATATACTTGACATATATCAACCTCCCTCTTCCATGAGCTCTGCTTCCTTCAGTCTTTCAATTTACAACCAGACTTTCAGTTTCCTCTTTCCTCATAACCTGTCCAAGAAACTCCAACTGTCTCTTTTTGATGTTAGTCAGCAGCTTCCTCCTGCTGCCTACTCTTAACAAAATATCTTCATTTGAAGTGTGACTTGTCCAACATACCTTCAAGATGCATCTTGAGAACCACATCTCACTTGCTTCAATTTTTTTTTCCATACTTGGTGATTTTGTCCACTATTCCGATGCATACATGAGGACTGGTATAACAAGCAATCCAAAACTCTTAACTTCATCCCCATAGACATTTTATTATTTGTCAATATCTTTTTCATTTTCAGAAATGTGTCTTTTGCCATCCCTATTCTATGTTTTTATTTCATAATCACATTTACCATCTTGATGTTATCTAGCTTCTCAAGTAGTTACATTTATTGACCTGCCTTATCTGTTCCTTTTTCACTTCAGTGTTGCATACAGAAATGATTTTCTTCTTTGTAATTATCATACATTCTGTTTTTCTACAGTTGATACTTAAACCCTTCTTCTCACTTTCACTAACAACTGTATCTAACATTCCTTGAAGCTTCTCTTCTGAATTGGCTATTAAGACTGTCATCAGCATAATGCAATTTGTTCAAATTCTGTCTGCCAGCGATCAGCCCTGGTAAATTCTCAGTCTCCCTCGGTATTTTCTCACTATACAAGTTGAACAAGTCAGGTGAAAAAACAGTCTTGCCTCACACCTCTCTTGATTTGGATGAAATCACTTAGTTCATTTTGTATCTTCACTGCTGCAGTTTGGTTCCAGTAGAGGTTTCTTAAAATTCTCAAGTCTTTACCATCAATATCCAGTTCTTCCAGCATATTCATTAACTCCTCATGCTTAACTCTATCAAAAGCTTTGGTATAATCAATAAAACATAAAAATGGTCCCCATTTCTGTTGCCCTGTCTGAAAGCATTCGTACTATGAAGATAACATTTCTTGTACCTTGACCTTCCACAAAACCACATTGAACTTTTGTAATCTCTGGTCTTATTCTACTTCGAGCTGTCAACATCATCACCTTTTAATAGGATCTTTGTCACATGGCCCATTAAACTGATGGTTCGATGGAGTTCACATTCAGTGACTCTAGGTCTTTTGGGGAGTGCAATAAAGATCAGTTTACTGAGGTCCTTGGGTATTTCTCTGCTTTCATAAATCTTGCTGATAACAGTTGTTAACTTTTCTATACCAGACTCTTCCATACATCTTATTTGTTCTATCTCATCTCGTCCTGTAGCTTTATTAGTTTTTATTTGGTTGATAACTGTTCATACCTCTAACTGAAGAATTTTCAAACCATCCATGTTCTTCTTAAAAATGGCTTTTGTTCTTGACTGTCATGGAATAACTGTTCAATATACTCTGTCCATTTTTTCACTACTTCTTCTCACTCCATAATGACATCACCATTCTTGGCTTTTATACATCCCTTAGCAGTACATCCTCCTTTGTCTGTGATGTCTTTGATATTTCTATACATTGATGTAACATATTTATCCTTCTGTTTTTCTATCTCTCTACATTTTTCATTACACCATTTTTCCTTTTCTTCATTGCCCATTGATCAAATTCTTTTGTCCAGTTTCTTATACTCTTCCAAGGTTTTCGTCTTTCTTTCATAAATTCAAGGATTTCTTCAGTCATCCCTTTGTTTCTTTTGCCTTACTTTTGATGGAATAACCTCCTTGGCTGTTTCAACTAGTGCTTCTTTCACAATTTCCCAGTTTGACATATTTCCTTTATCTTCAAGTTCTTGAAAATGATTCTTGACTGCGACTGCGTACCTTTCTTTAATTAGACCTGTTTCCATTAGAATTAAATAATCAAGTTTTTTGGTGCTTTTGGTTTCTTAAGTTTCCTCAACCTTATCCTGATGGCATAGGCAGTGGAAGGCTGGGGCTAATGGGGCTAGGCCCCAAATGCAGGGCAGTGGAAAAGGCCAAAGGGCAGCCTACTTGCGGGCTCTGGGTGGCTGCATGAGGAGTGGGGAGGGGCACACACTCAGCCAGGATTGCAGCCTGTTGTGTGGATCACTGCCCAGCATGGCAGGCATGTATCAGTCTCTTCTGTGAAGGGGCAGGAGCTGGGATGGGGAGGGGGTAGATTGAGACCCCCACATTGAGGGAGGGAATGGGGCAGGGACAGGGGGTGGGGTGAGTGGGGCCCTGGCTGGGCTGGGTTGTGGGATGATCGGAGCCCAGGCAGCTCGTTCAGTGGTGTGGGGGGGCTTCTACTGCTGTGTGTACCCTGGTGGAGGCCTGGAGGGCATGTCCCTCCCTGATCTGTGCATGGGGCGTAGGCAGACTGCTACTGTGTGCTGGGCTCTGCGCCCCATTGCTTCTGGAGCTGCGTGATGCCATGTGCATGCTGCTGCTGGGCTGTGCTGGGCCCCCCTTGCCTGCCTGGCAGCAGGATGCACAGGACGTCACGTGGGTCTCAAGGCAGCGGCAGTGGGGTGCAGAGCCCAGTTTGCAGTGGCAGCCTACTTCTGCCTGGCATACAGATTGGGGGAGTATATGCACCCCAGACCTCTGCTGGGGTGTACATGGCAGCAGCAGCCTCCCTGTGCCCCTGGATGAGCCGCCCAGGCTCCAATTATCCCACGACTTGGCCCAGCTGGGGCCCCATTCACTCCTGCCCCTGCCTCTGCCCCATCATGGCCCTTCCTCCTCCCCTCGCCCCTTCTCCCACAGACTTATCTGCTGGGTGGGGGGGGTGCACATGCATGCACACACTGTCCCCCAAAATATTTTTTTCTCCCCCTGCCTGTGCTTGATGGTGCATACTACAGGTACACGATCAGTTCCACAGTCAGCCGCTGGGTAAGTTTTTTTTTCAGTTGGTGAACTACATTTCTGAATCTTCTGTTGATGGTGATGTAATCAATTTGGTTTCTAATATATCTCTAGGACCTTTACATGTATACCTTCTCAGGTGGTGTTCAAACCATGTGTTCATAATGACTTGATTGTTTGCAACACACCAATCAATCCATCTCTCTCCTCTTTCATTTTTCTCTCCAAGTCCATGAGGTCCAACAATATTATCCACTTGTTCACAACCAACTTTTGCATTTAGATCTCCCATCACTATTACGACTTTTTGAGGTTTGTATTGCTTTTTTGCTTTATCAAGATCTTCGTAGAAGCCATCAGTGTCCTCTTCCCCACTTTCAGCTGTCAGTGCGTAGACTTGTATGTTGAAAGGTTTAGCTGTTATTTTCATGAGCATCACTATCAGATATTGCCCAAAAACTATGCAAACATTTTGAGGTTTCTTCATGCAAAACTAATCCAGCTCCTCTTTCGTGCATCTGACTTCCTGAATGGATGATCTTTGCATCTTTTAAAACAGTAATTCCAGCCTCTTTCCAACATGTTTCTCACAGACCTAGAATATTGATCTTTAATGTCTTCATTTCAGGCTTGACGTCCAATTTCCAATTTGATGTAGAGTTCTCACATTCCATGTTGCCACTTTGACTGCTCATTTTTGAATGCGGACAGTAGTATGTTGATGGGCTGGAGTCACCTGTCACACATAGGTGTCCTTAACTTTTCTGTCAGGGACCTCCTTCACGCTATTGTGTTGTTTTTTTTCTTAATCCTTGAAAGACTATGGATTGTGCTTGGCAAAATACTGTAGTAGGCTGTCAGTCCTTGCTTCGGGTTGCAATCTTGAGCAAGTCTCCTTTATTGTTGTCCCAGTTGCACCAGGCATCTGCCAGATGAGTTGATCCACCGTCCTGCACTCCCAACAGCTTCAATATTGGGGAATAGTGGCTAATAAGGTAGTGTGTCCAAGCACAGTTTTGAAGAGTGAGCTTGGCACAGAAGACCTTGGCTCCAGTTGTTTCTTGGGGAAATATAGGCTTTAGAAACCAAACCTCCATAGAACACTCAGTTATTTTTATGAAATACAAATGAAATTTTCCAAATGCATTCCGTCTCTTGTGGCATTTTGACATCTCCTTGACTTTCAAAAAACCTTTCCTGGGATCCAAGCTAAAAGCTGTTTCCTAGTCACCTGTAGCATATAAGAAAAACCCTTTGCAGTAACCTACGCTAAATCTTTTCTTTCAGGTTTTTCCGCCTGCTTTCAGAGAGTTGCCTCCTCCCAGTCTGGACCTGTTTGATTTAGATGAAACTTTCTCCTCTGAGAGAGCCCGTCTTGCGCAGATTACAAACAAGTGTAAGCCAGGCCAAGTTTTTAACTTTTGATGTATATATTTGTACAGCAATCCTGTTATTTTGATACAGTAAGCACATGGAACTGAGCTATGGAATCCATTAATATTTCACCAAGGGTTAGAAGTGCTGTTTGCATATGGGGTCCATGGATTACACTCGTCTTACATGCATGACCTAGTGCTATTAAGCTGTTAATCATCAATAGTGCAGGGCACCCCCTCTTTCTTTCTCTTCCAGTTGTATTCCAGGCACATGACCTTCAAATCTGCAGCAGCTAGGAGAGTGATTGTTTGGGCCAGGTAGCTCATGGGGTCCTTGGTTCCCCTCACTAATTTATGATGGAATTTACTTTAAAAAACTGTTGAGTAGCAAACTGTAGGAGTGACCTTTCATGATTACCTATATCTGAGCCTGCTGTTAACCTCAACTGACAGTTTTTATTTTAATAGGCCTCTTATCTTACATCTGCTTCCTGCTTTACATTTCATGCATAAATCATTCTGCACAACTATGTAGCTGAATTATTTTGCATCTTGTTTCCATTTTAAAGTAGAGGTGGTTATAAAACCTTTGTGCACATCTTAGAACAGGATCTCGGAGCAGGATCATATGTTGCAAGCTGTAAAACTGCATCCGGACATTTCACTGGCATTGATTCAAGTTGTTGATTTCCTGAAATGCTTAATTGCAAATATTGTTGAGCAGTGCAACTTCAGTCAACTGGTGCACATGTGTATGTGACCTATCTGCCTCTTCCTGTGGATCCTCATTAGGTACTGAAGATGACCTAGAGTTTTATGTCAGAAAGTGTGGTGACATCTTGGGTGTAACAAACAAGCTCCCAAAGGAGCAGCAAGGTGCAAAACATATCCTGGAGCATATATTCTTCCAAGTGGTGGAGTTCAAGAAGCTGAATCAGGTATACTTGTTTTAGTAACTAAGCTACTAATGAATAGAGAGTGTGGTGTCAGCTGTGGTCCTTATTTTCATCTGTTAAGTGATCATGTTTGTCTTGGGCAAAAGGTACTCTGATATAGTGAAGATTTTGTCCTGTAGTGAGCAAGATGTGCACATGTGATCCTAACTACTAACAACAAGTAGTCTACAAAGAAGCCTGTTACACATCTCTATTCATGTAGTCTGTCATTTCAAAACCCAGCATTGTTCTATTTGCTATTATTTACTTTGTACAACATCATTTACAGACATTTGTAATGCAGTGCCATGCAAAGCTACCCAGACTGGCTCTGAATGAGATATTAGTTTGCTTGAAAAACAGGCTAAGCTAGCTAAGTACTAGGGCTGTGCGAAGCTTCGGATGCTGATTCGATTTGGAGGAAATTTGGCCTGATTTGGTGCCTCAATCTCCGAATCTGTATTGAATCAGGAGACCCATTAATCTCTCTCTGAATCAAATCAGACGCCTCTGATTTGATTCGGAGAGATTCGACAATTTGGCCATAGACACAGCTTTATGTGTTTTTTCTATATACCTCAAGGTCCCAGGCACGGCTCATGAATGCTGAGATGGTGGGGTGGATGGAGCGTCCCACGGGAGCATGGGGGGGGTCCCTTACACACTTGATGGCAGACCCGGAAGTATTTCCAGTCCACTTCCAGGTCTCCTGCAGAGTGCATGGGGGTGTGGGCCCCCAATCTGCCTGCCAGATGAAAGACAGGTGCTGGGCTCAGCCCACACCCAGCACCAGGAAGACTGGTGCTGCTGCTGGCCCCAGGTGGCAGCACCTGGCTCCTGTTAGCCAGCAGGCAGATTGAGGGCACACACCCCCAAGAGGACTCTGGCACAGCCCCCGCAGCCCTCCCGGGGGTGCCAGCGGTCCCCCAATCTGCCTGCCAGCTGACAGGAACTGAGTGCTGCCTCCTTGGGCCAGCAGGGCCAGGGCAGATCGGCTCGTGGGGACCTGCCACCCCGATCTTGGGATGGGAGAGGGTCCCCACAACAGCTGATCTGCCCTGCCCATACCAGAGCTGGCTCCAGGAGTGTGCGGAGCCCGGGGCAGATCAGCTCGTGTGGGGACCCTCCTCTGCTCTGGAATCGGGGTGGCAGGTCCCCGCATGAGCTGATCTGCCCCGGCCTTGCTGGCCTCAGGTGGCAGCACCCCGCTCCTGTCAGCCAGCAGGCAGATTGGGGGCCTGCTGGCATCCCTGGGAGGACTGTGGGGGCTGTGCTGGAGTCCTCTTGGGTGTGCATGCACCTGATCTGCCTGCTGGGTGACAGGAGTCAGGTGCTGCTTGCCTGGGGCCAACACCAGCACCGATCTTCCTGGCGCTGTCATCTGGCAGGCAGATTGGGGGCTGCAGCCCTGGGAGGACTCTGGCACAGCCCCTGCAGCCCTCCTGGGGGTGTGGGCGAGCCCCCGATCTGCCTGCCAGAGGAGAGAGGCTGGGTGCTGCTGGCTGGGACTGGCTCTGAAGCCAGTAAGCCTGGCTTCGAAACTTGAAACGTTTTGAAACTTTTGAAACTTTTTGACTTCCCTTGTTTCATTTCAAAGCTGTTTCAAAAGCTTTTGTTTCTTTTTGATTTCACTGTTTCGAGCTCAAAACGCATTGAAACAGCTTCGAAATGAAACACTGGGCAAAATTTTGCACAGCCTTAATACTGTGATATATTTTGTCGTGCATCCCATTGTTAGAAATTTTTTTTGGACACCTGCTAAATAATGGCATGGCTGAGTTGCAGTGTGTGTAGTATTTCTAGTATCTGTAGTTTTCATTTGTATGGTCCACAAACTAATTATTATTTGATTTGACACATGGAAATAGTTTTAATGTGCATAGGTTGGGAAGACAGGATTTCCCCTACAATGGTTGGCTTTATGCAAGCCCCTTGTTTGTGGATCTGCAGTGGTTTTTAAAGGAATTAAGCACTCAAACCACTAGATATAGCACACAAACCATACAGGATGTTTCTGCCAAGTACTGGTTATTGATTGTGATTTATGTGCAAGTAACGGATGAACCCTGAATGTGGTAATGCAGATTTCACACCAGAGTTGTTAGCAATTGAGAATACTGCATTTTTGATAATTGTGTATATCAAGTTCAGGACTCCTGAGTCAGTTTCTCAGTTCTTTCAGTAAGGTGTAGTCCAAATCTACGTTTGTAAAGGTAAAATAAACCTTTAGAGCAGGGGTGTCAAATGTAAGGCTTACAGCCTGTATCTGAGGCCCACAGGGCTGGTAGAGGAGGCGCAGGACAAGCTGGGGTGGGGCCTGCTGCCCAAGTCCATGGGTGGGAGCTTCACTGGGAATGCATGTTTGGGATGGTGGTGTGGGGACCAGTAATAGCTCTGTTAACTCCTACTGCCATTGCTGGCTCTGCATCCCAATCCAACCTGCAAGCAGCCTTGTGGTTGGATCTGGTTTGGGGGACAGCGTGAGTTTGATGCCTCTGCTTTAGTGCATCCAACTCTTACCTTGTATTAAATGTCCTTTTAACTATTTTCCTCCTCATTAAGGAACATGATATTGACACAAGTGAAGCTGGATTCCAGAGTGGTTACTGAAGCTGGCTTTTCCCATCAGTGAAAGAGGGAGATCTTAGCAAAAATATGTACCTGTGCTTTCCATTGTAAATTTACTGTTTCTGTCTGTTGTGAACTCCTGTAAATATGTGTAATGTCTAAAAATGATACTTTTTAATGTTAAATGAAAAATTGTCTTATAAATAGCACTTGCTTTCCAGAACCTTTTATAGAAAACAAACATTCCTTATTTAATCTTTTTTCTACTCCTTTTTATTGAAGCTGTAATTTTTTAATCATTGAAATAGTCTCTTATGTTAAACAAAATCTTCTTTTAAGTCCTATTTCTGCCTCTTGTATTTATTTTCCTGTCTCTGATATTTACTTCTGGAGTCTGTTTGGATACAGGACCTTTATGTTGTTTACAAATGCTTGCATTCCTAATTGCACTGTAGAAAAGATCACATGCTTGTGCTTCTGTTGCACTTTTTGAGCTGAGGAGCAGCATATGTAGCCATAAATAGACTTCGAACCAGAACTCATACAATTCATATACAATATGGTAATCTACCACCCTGAGGCAGCCTCAAGTATTTGAACAAAAAAAAGAAAAAAAAATGGTCCCTGGTATGTATTTATTTATGGATTTATTCGGTCTTTGGGCTATTCACCAACTAGTCATTGTGACAGTGAACTAGTGAATGAGCAATGAAAGGAAAGTGAAGTTGACTGGTTCATTAGAAATGCACAATTTTAGTATGTGTAGAAAACCAAGAGCATGAATGTGGAAAAGGAATGAGATAATAAATATTCTTGTAATATGAACAACACACTGTGCCACTGTTTCTGTTGGGGTAAGGACATTCATTTTTCTTAGCTATGTTTTTAACTTCACATTGCACTTGTTAGAATAATTGAGAATTGTATGCATCTGAGGCAGAAAGCCACTGCTGTAATTATGGAAGACTTGAAGAAAGAAAAGAAATGCGGCCTCTTTTCTCTGGCACCAGCTTTCTGTCCAACTCTGCCATCCCTTTACCTTTGAAGTCACTTCTAACAAACATTCCTTTTATCTTCTTGAAAAAACTTTTTTTCATCTTCTCCAAAACATGTTAGAATGCAGGGGTGCTAAAACAGCAGTGACATTGCATTTCTAGGGTGAAGGGATCTATTCTTCCTTCCCCAAGCATCTAGCATGTTGATGGCATGCAGATGCATGTTATACACTGCTGGGAAGAAGTGTATGCAACTTCATTGATTCCAAAGATTTGTACTTGCTTATGTCATTTGGAATATAGCTCTTAGATTTCTTTTTTTATAAACAGTAAAACCATCTAAAAGTTCTACAGTTGCATTAAGATGCATACAATCTAATGTCCTAACTCTGTTGCACTGGCAATAGTGAAAAGGTAAATAGAAAAAGCTGATCTGCCCAAAAGTTATCATCTGGCTGCTCTGGTTTTTGTTTAAAATTACTCCTCTCACTCAGATGCACCAACTTGTATGTTCCCTGTGAATGTTTACACAATAAACGTAGTGTTTCCAAATCTGTATCAATCCCACCCAGCAAGTTAATGCAGGTTCTAGTTGCTACTTATCCATGCAGCCTGTACTATCCTTTTGTGTTTACAGTTAAAGACTAAATAACTTATTTTTTTTGCAAAACTTCTCAGACTTGTTTTGCTGCGTGTTCTTGATGTTATAACAACATGTGTTAGAAGCAAGGCAGCTGAGGGGTCAGTGTGTGTAACCAGCACCATAACTAGGATTTGTCCTTCCCTATCTCTGTTGTGGATCTCTGCATCCACCATGGCTTTTGTACAGTAAGAATGAGCAAAAATGCCTTTGCGTATTTCAATCTAAATGGTTGCAAGTTGTAGACCAGTGCCACTTGTACATATGACAGTGGTTTAGTTCTCTCTAAACTGAAATAGTGGGTTTTTAACAATTCAAAACCCACCAATTAAAAAACCCACCATTTCAATTTAGGGACTTCTATTACTGTGACAGAACAGTGAAAGTCCATCAGCAGCGGGTCACAGGTAAGCTCTGCCAGAAAAAAGTGGAGATGGGCTGGATTCCTTTTTTTTTTTTTCCCCTGGAGCCTGTTTGTCTCTCCCACAGCTGGGGTACAAGCTGCCAGCAAGATTTGAGCTGCAGCGTGGGAGGGTCTGGTCCTGACCTGTGGTGGTGGCACCCCTGCCAGGTGGCACGACTGTTCCCTACTCCCCTGCAGCTCAGGCGCTGTGCAACCTGGAGGCAGCTTGCAAGGGCAGGCTCTGCTGTGGGGGAGGGGAAAGCAGCAAAAGGCCTGATCCTTTTCTTTTTTCCTCCCAGAGCCTGCCCACATCTCTCGCAGCAGGCTGAGCAAGCATCCCCCCTGCCCCCCCAGCGGTGGAACCCCCCAGGCAGGCTACTAGTGGGCAGGTGCTGCCTCCACTGAGGGAAGGTCCAGGGCCACTGCAGCTTGGGCCCTGCTGGCAGCTCACCTGCTGACCATAAGAGGCAGGCAGGCTCTGCTGGACAACCCCCCCAAAAAATGGGCCCCTTGCTGCTTTCCCCTTGGCAGAGCCTGCCCACGCAAGCTGCTGCCAGGTTGTGCAGCCCCTGAGCGGGGGGGAGGGGGCGCGGCACAGTGCTTCTCTCCGTGGTGGTGGTGCTCCCCTGGTGGGGTACTAGTGAGCAGGTGCTTCCCCAGCTTGCAGGCAGCACCCAGCCCAATCCAATGCTCAGAGAAGGTCTGACTTGGCTGGTTTTCTGTGCCTTGTGTGTCGTCCCTGCTGCCTTCCTGCTGCCTGGGACTGCCTGGGAATGAGCTGGCTTGTCCTTGGGGGAAGGTGGCAGGAGGGGAGCTACGTGCTAGCAGTTGGAGAAGATGGTGGGGATTGTGCATTAGGCACTGGAAGCCCACCAAGGCCAACCTCCCCAAGCACCATTCCTACCACCTTCTTTGGATGTCTCTCTGCAATTTGTTGCATCATAAACTAAAATATATCAGATGCATTTTACTCTGCTATGTAACTAAGTCATTTAAAGCAAAATACGCTGCCACGTGTGTACAGCATGATGAAATTAAAACAACATAAACCACTGCAGGTGTAAATGGTGATGCCATTAAAGTGGTGCAAAAAGGTAATTAAGCCGCTTCAAAGGCCAATTTAGTCACGCATCCCAGGATTTTCAGGGTTAAAACACAGAGCTAATACTGCAGTTTTTTCCTTAAAGCAGAAAGTAGCATGCTAGGGGCAGACCATAGTACCCAAGCACCTTTACTAGAAGCCCTCTACTTTCATTGGAAGGGCTCTGGATTATATTGAAGTTATCCTTTCTTTCTAATTGAATCCACTGAACACAAGAGGAAACCATTATACATCCTGCAGCATATGGATGGGGGTGTAAGAGCTGTAGCTAGTGAGAAGATGGGGATTTACACAATCACAGTAGTCTTAACATTCAACAACAGTAGAACAGGATAGTTAAAAAATAGGCTGCAGTTTTAGATTGGCTTCAACACTATAAAAGCCCCATTTCCTTTACTGCTACTAAATAATAACCCCCGCCGCACAAGTCATATGTTGTTTTTCACAAGTAGAGCTGTAGTTTAGATAAGACTGATTTTTCACTGAAGTTATTGAACCCCTTTCACATGTTGGGCCTTCTGCATAGTTGTTAACTTTTGGGAATTACAGGCTTGAAACTACTGTCTACTTTCATCCCCATCTGCTATCCTGCTGTTGTGTGTTACTTACTGCACAGCCTCTTGTTGCTCTACTTGTTCGCCCCATGATAATCTGCATGCCCCCTGCCTCCTCCCCCTACAGCGTTTCAGGGGAATTCTGTTTTCAGTACCATCCTTTTTGCCTCTAGATGTGTGGAGGCTGTTCCATCAGAATCCATTCTGCTACCAAGAAGGAGCATTTTCTTTTCTCTCATTTTCCCAGCACCTTAACAAGCTTTCTATTAACCCAATCTGATAATGGTTAGTCTGATCCCTCCACCTTCTGGTGGATTGTTACTTTAGAAACAACCCATCCATAATTTGAGAGAGGACAAGTGCATTTGTTGTCATAATATGAAGGCTGGATCTGGGTGAGGCCCATTGTTGTTAGTGTCTAACAGCTGGGGTTGTACAGGTGGAAACATAACGATGGTGGAAAGACTATTCAAAGTTACACCTATGCAGAGAGTCCATGGTTATGTATTAGCTACTTTGCAATTTGTGAATGAATGAGTTTAAAAGCCATCTATTAATGGAATACTGATCCCCATTTCACTGCCAAGTCACTACCATCTTATCAAGCCCCTTCATTTTGACACAACATTATTTCTGCAGGAAACAAATTAGTGTGGGATTCTCTCCTTTAGTGTAAGTGGCTCTCCATCTGTATCCTCAGTCATGACTTTTTATGTATTGTAAGTATTCATCTTAAAAATTTAAGATGAAAGGGTAACAAATTCATGCACAGTAATAAGGATCTTTGAAAGATGATGTGCCTCAAGCTGAGGGTCACTGGAGAAGTTAATCTTAAGTATTGCCACTTCCTTCCCTAAGGCTTGCAATGGACCATTATATAAAATAATATCATTCCTACAGCTAGACACCTCAAATTCCTACATTACAAAGTATTTCAAATCATAAATAAAATTATTTTAAGAATCATCCCCAAATTAGTCCTGCGTGAGACCAGCAGGTCTGTAAACATTTTTGAGTGGGAATGTTTTTTTTTTTTTTTTTTTTAAAAAAAAAA